TGTGTGTGTGTGTGTGTGTGTGCGCGCTTGTCCAACCTGTTGGAAGGCTACCTTCTTGCCAAAGCAATTGGAAGTTGGACTAGTTTCGGCTCCACAATCCAGTGTGTCGTTGCTATAATAGCTTTGAAGGCTTAGGTTGTGGGTATAACTGTTGGCTCTGGGTTCCCAGTACTCAATAGCCGAGGCTGGTTGGTAAAGTTACTCCAATTTCACTTCAAGGTACCAGTGCATCTAGTGTCTGCTTTTATCAAAGCAGCGTGCTGTCTATACTGGTTACCCCAGCAAATGTAGGGTGTGCATAGGTAACTGTCTTGGTCATTCTATGCTGATGTACTCCGTGTGGTGCAGACCCGGTGTGCTTTGGTGGTCGATTCACATGGCCTCGCCAGTTGTGTGAATTAGACAGTTATCTGGCGCAAATCTTGAACTGTCTCATTCAGATCTTGTTCGCTATCGTTGCTATAAGAGAAAATCTGTGAGTGAATATCCAGTGCAATTGCAGATTTGCCTGCTTCTCTTGCGACGGGCGTATAAATGGTACATGGTACATGGTGCATGTCGAACACACAACTGCAACGCACAAAATACTAGTTGAAGGTAACTCGTGAGAGGCAAGAGGGCAACATAGATTAGGCCATTGCAGAATTATTACGCAAAAGGAGCCTATATTGTAGATGATAACGCCATGAGAAACATCCTCCTGAGTTGGATTTGGCTACAACTAAGCCAGCTTACGTTACCAGTAGCGATAATAAAATTAATTTTATTGGTTTCAGAGATCTCGTTTTTGCCGCAAGCGTATCAACATGAACGTATTAGTTCAAGTCAGGGAGTATCCAAACCGAAAAATTCCCTATGCGCACTCGTAGACACACTCATTATTTTGTTTTGCTAGTGAGCAAGGTCAGCACCTAACAGGAACCTGCGGATACTGTGGCGAATCCCCCGCAAAACCACATATTCCTGATTTTCAACCAAGATGTGTTGGCTTGTATTCTTTGATGATGTGTTATGAGCCGGTTCGCTCATTGAATTATTCCTATTTAAAACTTTCACCAATCAATCAAAAACAATACTTCCCGAAAGAATTTCAATTGAAGTACTGTGACAATCTCTCCTCCTGTTTTCCTGCAATAATTATAAACAAGGAAGGGGTTGCGGGTACTTCAAGCATTGTTACTGATAATATTCCTTCTGACAGCTGTTTCGCCTGCTAAAGGTTCGTCAGAGAAGGTGATACCGAATAGGATATTGTAATTGACATGGCACATATGTATTGAAGTACTTACTCAACCTGCGGGCAGAACTGTTTCGCCCTTTGTGGACTCATCAGCGCAGCACAGAGAAAATGAGGCGGAACCTGATAGCAATAAAAAATAAAATTTCCCAAAGCCAGATTTAAACAAGCCCCGAACGTACCTTGCCAGAGTGCTCAAACTTACAAGTCAGTGAGCTCTGCATAACGCAAACGGCAAAGGCACTACCCCACACGAGAGTGCTCAACTGCTACAAGAGCAAGAGCGAAGTATCAATCTGCGGACAGAACTGTTTCGTCCTTTGTGGACCCATCAGCGCAGCAACAGTGAAGTATATTGAACTTAATTGAAGTACTTAAGAGAGCATGTCTGAGAAAACCTGAACATATGTGCAAGTCGATCTCTCAGATTTCGCTCAAATTTTGCAGGTAGGTTTTCTTTGGGGTGTAGATCGACATTCCAAAGCCCGCGCTGAACATAAGGGAACCATGAAATTGGCATACCCCTCAATATTGGCACGATTTATGGGTCTACAAACAAGCCACGGCACAGCGTACAAGAACAAGCTACGAACAAAACTCCATCAAGCCATCATTACCTCATCTTAGAAGAGTTCTTGGGGCAGCACCACTTAGCCACGCCAGCATCCCAGAAGACGAGGGAAATCATCCCTTGACGCCACTAATGATCGTCTTGAAAATAGCCAAATTACAAGCGCTGATAAAACAGCGAGCTACGTCCTCAATTAGCAAACACTATACACCGGCAGATAGTAGAACACCTCTTCTAGCACTGAGGACATGTCCCCCATCATCCTTTTGGGGTGTTCTTGAAATAAACAATTTTGAATTTTTCCACGTAGCTCGTTGTTTTATCAGCGCTTGTAATTTGGCTATTTTCAAGACGATCATTAGTGGCGTCAAGGGATGATTTCCCTCGTCTTCTGGGATGCTGGCGTGGCTAAGTGGTGCTGCCCCAAGAACTCTTCTAAGGTGAGGTAATGATGGCTTGATGGAGTTTTGTTCGTAGCTTGTTCTTGTACGCTGTGCCGTGGCTCGTTTGTAGACCCATAAATCGTGCCAATACAGTATTGGGCCAATATTGAGGGGTATGCCAATTTCATGGTTCCCTTCAAAAGATTCTGCGCGGGCTTTGGAATGTCGATATACACCCCAAAGCAAACCTACCTGCAAAATTTGAGCGAAATCTGAGAGATCGACTTGCACATATGTTCTGGTTTTCTCAGACATGCTCTCTTAAGTACGTTCGTTAGGACTTGGTTTTAAACCTCGCTTTGGAAATTCGTATTTTACATTGCTTTCAGGTTCAGCCTTGTTTTCTCTGTGCTGCGCTGATGAGTCCACAAAGGACGTAACAGTTCTGTCCACAGGTTGAGTAAGAACTTCAATACATACAAGTATATTGTCCGCAGATTGAGCATATATTATCCCATGTCATTTACAACATTCTATTAGGTATCATCTTCTCTGACGAGCCTTTAGTAGGCGAAACAGCTATCAGAAGGAATATTATCAGTACCCCATTTTCTCTGTGCTGCGCTGATGAGTTCACAAAAGACGAGACAGTTCTGTCCGCAGATTGAGTATCTCGTTCCTGCTCTTGTAGTAGAAGAGCACTCTCATGTGAAAACAATCATTTTTTAATACTTTAAAAAACTTCACTTCCAAACTCCAATAATAAGCGGTCTCTCTTCACTGCGAATCAAACATTTCGTTACCCTGATGATGGGCCAGGCCCGAAAATTTGGAGTAATGTTAATTTTTAAGAAAGGATTTGCTCCCCACACCGGAGCTCGCGCTATTCCGCCGACTTTACTTGACACTTGACTGACTCACGACTGCCATCCAGAGCACACGAGAAGTCCATCGAACCTTCGACTCGGCAAACCTGCAAGAAAGCACCACTCCCTGCTCAATACACAGTGTTTCGGGGAATTCACCCCTCATCAGTTGAGCTTGAGTAGGCTGAGGAAGATTGTGCCTGAAGCGCACCACTTATATAGTGCTCTCCAGGCACAAACATCACCAGGGATACAAACTTACAGAGACGCTCCGTTTCCAGCAAACCACTACTTCGTAATGTTAATTTTCATGTTTCATATAATTCGCAGTGAAGAGACCGTTTTTTTGGAGTTGAAAAGTGAAGTTTTAATGTGTAAGTGGCTGCGTTGGAGTTTGCGCACAAATACTTTATACTGGGTAAATAATTACAACATTTTTTAAATGAAGTGATCGGAGAGCTATAGAGGCTCGTACTATGCTCAAGTCCCAACTACGGGCCAAGGCTCAAAGGGCAACGTTGGCCTCTAGGACATCCAGGGAGGCAGAGCTACCCATAGGAGGCTGCCAAACCCGTCGAACCCCATGCAGACACATAACACTCAGCGCAACAGGCTACAGGGCGAACGCCAGCCTCCAGAGAAGATGGGCAACCCGCATAGAATACGCCTCCCTCCCACGCAGCGACTGGAGGGGTGCGGTCCGCCACACCACTGCAGCAGCACCATTGCCGCGTCCTGCAGTGGAAAAGAGGACAAAGGAGAGAAAAGTGATCCGCACCACTTCTCGGACTCTCCAATCATACGGACGTCGTTTCTCCTGTTTGTGGTGCCGGTAGTGGGCGGAGAGAGAGGAGGCGCGGTTCGAAGACGCATAAGGGTTCAACACACGTACATCAATAAAAATGCGCTTGAATCGACCCCTCCAAACTCCACACTGGCCAACACGTTCAAATGAGCTTGACCCTCTCTTGAAGCTGACAGGAGCTTGAACCTCTCCCCAGTCAGGGGCTGGAGATGTGGCTCACTGCGGCTGGGGTAGTGCCTTTGCTGCTTGCGTTATGCAGAGCTCACTGACTTGTCGGTTTGAGCGTTTGGTAAGGTACGGGCCTTGATCTGGCTTTGGAAAATATATTTTTCATTACTTTCAGGTTTGGCCTCATCTTCTCTGTGCTGTGCTGATGAGTCCACAAGGCACGAAACAGATCTGTCCGCAGATGAAGTTCTTTAAAAAATATAATTACTTGTGTTGTAACCAGAAAGAAAGCACTAGCATAAATATTATGTCACTGCCAACAATACTATCTATAATGTCGGAATAGAACAGAAATTTCCAATGAAAACGTTGCAAGAAAGTCACTGCTGACTCTGACACTTCATTACTTTATGATGAGAAGCGTAATGGAACGAAATCCGCCACTAAACGCAGCAGAAGAGCTATTATCAGTTTCTCACTATTCCATGGTTGACACCGACTCGTGACGCTTCCTGGATCAAGCAGCTCAAACATTACTGGCGCCACAATTTGTTACAAAGTGAAGCTCCACACCCAGCGCAACGTTTATCATTTTCATTTGACCCAGTAAGCATCTCCAGTCAGTGTCAACCATGGAATAGTGAGAATCAAACGAGTTTCACGTGTAGATGCCTAGACCTGGCTCTAGCCAACACTAAACAAAGTGGGAATGATGACGCTGTCATTTCCCTCTTACCCTGGTCTTGACACCGACCCTCATACGCAGTCAGTACTTGTGCTGTTCCTGTCTGTGATATCCTAAGAAGAGGTTGGTGAGACTTCGGGGATACTTGGGGAATTGTGTGTTGCTCCCTACATGGGAGCTCGCGGTAAAATTAGTATTATTTGTTTCAGGCATATCTACAATCATGATTGTGTTTCTTCAACTGAGGAAGAATCTAAAAGTAAATTTCCCAAATCACACTAGTAGATGCACACAGTACTGTTTTACTAGCGAGCAATGTCACCACCTAAGAGGAATCTGCAGGTTACTGGGTCGAGTCGCCCACAAAAAACACATATCATTGAACCTCAAAGAAGATGAGTTAGTTTGTACATGTATTCTTCAAAATTTTCAATAATAATATGTTATGTACCGGTTCACTCATTGTATCATCCCTATTTCAAAAACAACGCTTGACAGAGGAAATTCGTTTGACGTAAAATATACCGAAGGATGTACCCAGAGTGCTGACAGTGCTCAACACCACAAACACCACAAAGGCAGAGCGTAATACACAACAGAACAACAAGGTTGTTCTGTTGTGACGTAAGATATAAATATTGTGTCACCAACTAGAAAGCAGGCGCAAATGTCACCGCCAACATTACTACCCATCATGCCAAAATAGAACAGAAATTTCAAAAGAAAACGTTGCAAGAAAGTCACTGCTGACTGCTGCTTTATCACTTCATGATTCAGAAGGCTAATGTAACGAAACCTGCTACTGAACGCAGCAGAAGAGCAATTGCTACATGGGGCATAATTTCCTGCACCGCCTAAATCAAGGAAATCGAGCTTGTACGCATAGTTACTTGCAGTTTTGCCTTTTGTGAAAAAGAAAATTTAACAAACCTAGGTATTGTTTTCCTAGCTAAACTGACAAAATATCAACTTCGCGTTCTTCTTTTTCCTCTCTATTCTGCTCTCTTCTTATTTTGCTGCACGTACCCCAACCCCTCTCCCCTGCTCCAAGGCTATGCATAGTTGATAAAATTTAGGAATCCTGATAAGATCAGCCAACAGGTTAGCGTCAGCTTCATCACCACACAAATGCATCATAGCAAGACGGAGGCGAATGCTACTGCCCCTCATAGGCGGGAAAAGATTTCTGAAAAAATAATTTCCTCTGCAACTCTAGGAGGAAACAATTCGATGGATTTCCGTACTTTTTATTGCTATTTTTCACTCTAGGAGCGGCTCTATGAACTCAAAGCTGGCTTTCTTCAACAAGGACTTCTGAGGCAGTTCCTCGAGGAATTTCTGCACGGCTGGAGCGTTGGCTGCCCTTTCTCCATCGGCAAACAGCGCCTCGCTGAGTGTGGGCGATGGTGTCAGAAGCATCGCAGCATAGAGAGGGTATTTACCGAAGAATGCCTGAAATAGCCTGGGACACTTGCCATCGGTGGCTCTGGAGAAGGAAAGTACACCAACAGAGATCAATGCAGATGTGGTATCATGTGTTTTAATGTGATAATTGTGCACACTAGGGAAGATCAGGGGCGTAGCGTAGCCCTTTTCAGCCTGCTTCATAAGGTCATGTGAAGCGACATAGTGTACATAATTCACCCTACTTTCATATCTGCAGTCAAGGATACTGGCTAAGCCAGCTCATTTTATTCGGAATTTTTGCGGTTAACTGCACGACGAAGTATTCAACGAGTCAACAAACATGCATCTTTCCTGAAATGGCAGGGAGCAGCAAGTTACTTGTTACTACGCCGTGCGGTCACTTCACACCCAGGAAGCAGTGAAACACCAGAATTTACATGCTACTCCGGCTCCCTGCTTCACACTGCGCTGTGCCAAATGCGCATTTGCATGCAATGCAGGAATGCACTCTTGTGCTCAAGACGGGACTCTCAGCCCGCTTTGGGTGTTTCGCGGACATGGTACGGCAAACTTTAGCTGCTTTGTTTGCGAAATTCGCAATATGGCGTTACGCGCCTGAAAGAAGCTCCCAACTTACACAGGAACTACACCATTCTAAAGAGTGCACAATATTATACATACATGCATGCAGTTGCATTAGAAGAGAGTAATGACGGTTTCAAAGAGTACTCAAAGCGCCATGGTAACCGTTTCTGGACTTAATAACCACCAACACAAGTTTTGCTTTGTCACGACATTCTTGGTCGATCTTCTTCTTTTCTTCAGTGTTTACTACTAAGTGTTAATTTGATAGAGCGAGCACTGATCTCCTTTTTACAAATTGTCCCACAATTAGATATGTCATCAGTCCTCATAACCAAACTGAAAAGCCACGGTGATTAACTGAAGTGTGAAGCCAGACTCGCATTGCTTGTAATTTTGCTGATTCATCATCATAACCTTCTCTTCTAGACAACAATCATTCCACTCATCGTTTTTGAACAATATTTTTCTATCTATAGTCACACAAGTGCAAGAAGGTGCTGTTGCCAGTTTTTGAAGCGACTTTGAAAGTATGTACATGAAAAACAACTATTACCATAACAAGCATTCTTCAGTAGCCATCAAACATACTAGCTGGAATGCAAAGCCCGCTTTCATCACTTTACGGATATTGGCCAAAAATGCATTCATTTAACGTGGGGTTGGTATCCATATCCAAAGTTGGATTCCAGTTTTGAGATGGTTCTACTTAGATTTTCAATGTGAATTATTTTATGGTTGTGCCCCTTGACCTTTTGATTACACTGAAATCAAATTTTCTCAAATTTGGCGATTATCTGGTTTTGTATCTCAGCTCTTCCACTGCAGATCAAAGTCGCATTGGTTTGTACTGTTACTGTTAACCCTCACCTGCAGAATACGCCGGTCAGTTCGTCAGCACGTTCAGGTGTCCAGGAGGGATCCGTCGGACCCGACCATACGCCCTCCACTCTGTGAGCTGGGTGACGCGGCTGTAATACCAAGATGTCGCCCTCGTGCACGCCATTGACGACTCCTGTTCGCATGCCAATGTACCGCACCTGCACATGGTAAATAAAAAAACGCAAATCATCATATCCGTTCACGATGGGAACTCATGACGGCCGCTAACGCCCGATAAGCCCCAGCGGCTGATGCAGCGACTAACGGTGGGGGCGATGGGATACGTCTCAGAACCCCTGGCACAAGTGCCGAGACACCCCTACGCAGGGTGAATACAAGTAAACGAAACCGAAGTCCTCCCACTGTTACAATCCATTTGCAGTGACATTGAAGGAAACGACCCGGCAGCCTACTTAGATGTACTGTACGGTGTGGCAGTGCAAGAATGCTCTACTTTGAGCTAACCGCAGCTCTACTTTGAGCTAACAGCAGCTCTACTTTGAGCTAGCAGCAGCTCGACTCTTGAGCTAACAGCAGCTCTGCTCTCTAACAGCAGCTCTACTTTGAGCTTCAAACCAGTTGTTTCGAAGCCAGCACCCCTCAATCCAAAGATGCCACTTTGTTGACACGTTTGTGTGAGGGATGGGACTAAAGCCTTTTCCTTTTGTTATATTTTACTTCAAAATAGTTGGAGTGATCAGCACAACTGAGATGATTGAACAGTAATCATCATACATGTAAAGTGTACATGTCTGGTCAGTGTAGATGGCTCCAAAAGGCTAATTATTCAAATTATTTCCCTTCCATAATGATAATATTAACTTGATAGCTCCTTTCAATTGCAATATGAACATAATGTACACATCGACATAGGGCATGAAAAGAGCTTCATTTTGATATGGATACAAAAAAGTTAAAGGGGAAGTCCAGTGAAAAATTTAAATTTCAGGGTCGGTAGAGTTTCGGGCGCCGAGTCGAATGGCGTTGATCCCAAGTGTTTCCGACAAAGCGTTCTCGATATATTTCCGTTTGAAAAACTGAGTTTCGGGGGCTGCGGCATGACATCATGCGGCCGCGCCACACCCTCCGCAACGTCATAGCGTGCAGCTAGGTCAAAAGGAGTGCGTGAAAGCAATAGTGTCAGTGCTATTTCAATGATTTGGCGGCCGATAGTAGGTGGTGCAAGCGACCCCGAAGACGTAAATCCTTGTGACGGTGAGGATGCAGCCATGGCTGACCTTCATGAGTTCGGCCTGGGGCTGAGAACCTCGGTATTCAGCTGAAAAAATGGCCGCTCGGGCCGGTCAAGAATGAGCGCTACTGAGTTTCCGACTGATGAAGAAGCAGCAGCTATTGCAGACTAGGCTGATATAATTATCAGATCGCTGGAGAGCAGCGTCGCCAAAATGGAGAAGAGTGATGCGAGTGCTCTGAATGTTGTTCATACCGATTCGCTTAGACTCCAGTAGCCTGCCACATGGTGATGTTTTGGTGCGAACTAAATACTTGGTATATTTCGGACTACTCAATTGGAGAACAGTGCAGGCTCTTTGAACCACTGGCACGACTCTTCGCTCCCACCGCTACGGGATCTGAAAGTTCTAGGTCCGGGAGCTGTTCGCTGTTTTGTCGCTTGTCACGGTTGTGCACTCATCGCTGTAGCATAAAATAAAGAGGCGGAAACGGAAAACTAAAATTTTCTTTCTCAAAGCACAACCACCAGCACCGGCAAGGAGAAACGCACGTTCTCTGACTACATGACTGTACAATACGACTGATACGAGTGTAGAACATGACAAGTCCGTGTGTTGACTGTACTAGTTTTCTGAGACTTGTGACTCGAGTCTTGTACTTGTAGCTACCCCAGCACGGCAGTGTGCGGGAGTAAGTAGTTCCGTGTGTGATGATTTTGTTTACTACTCTACAGCTAGCATGCACGCAGCGCATTGCTAGACTAGAGCCGTAGTCCCGTACATGCAGTCCCGTACATACAGTGCATGCCGACGGAAAAAGTCCAACTCGGAAACGGCGAAAATACGGAAAATCTGAAATACGGAAAATCACAGGGTACGTAGTGTTTGTAACACTGAATCAAATGGTCTTGGTCCGAAGAAGCTGCGACAAACGGTTCCCCAATCGAACGCGCTCCGAATATGGCCATTTTGTACACAACTAGATGGTGTGGCTACCTGCCTGCACACTGTGACGTCATCGCCTGGATATGGGTGATGCACACTCAAATTCGCACATGTTCCATTGGGCGTATCTGACGAACCATAGGCCGCAGCCTCCTCGGACAAAGACCATTCGACTCAGCGCACCGAACTCTACGGACTGTGAAATTTAAAAATTTTCACCGGACTTCCCCTTTAACCCTTTCACTGCCAGCTGACCACTCAAGGTGACAAGGCGCTCCCTGCCAGGCTGTCAGCTGAGCTGTACACCCCCGATCCCTGCCAGGCACTTTTTGCCTCCAGCTCGAAAAATCGAAAGGCCAACTTCTCATGGATTTTTTGGTACTTTCTGTACGGAATATCGCTTTCCAAAGTATACATCGTAGGTAGACAACTCATAAAGGAAGCCATTGCCGTCGAAAAAAATCGCAAAATCCGAAGTACAACCGTGCTGGGCGCTCTAGCACCAGCCGCTGTGCAAAAATGCATGTCATGTCATGCGAAAGTGCGCCGTGAGCCGCATGCGCTACATACACTATGTACACGATCGGCCCGGACACTCGCGAAGTAAAGTTAGTTGTTGTTTTGGAGAGAGAAGCAGATCCTTATTTTGTTAGCTGGGATTGAAAGATCTGCCAGTGGACCGGAGAGCTAAAACACTGGAAGCAGAAGAGATGGCGTGCAGAATGTTCTCTGTCTTCGTGGCAACAGGACTTCAGTTGCGAAAGACTTTCGTCCTGTTGTTGCGGACGAAATTCTAGTTGCTGCCACCAGAAAACTCGGAGAACGAAACGATCGTAAGTCGTTTGGTGAAGCAGATCGTGTCGGTGAACAGCTGCGGAATGTTCTGCCGCCATGGTGGTCGTTTGTTCTCCTGACTAGCAGCAGTCCGAATACATTTCAACTTCGGAGAGTGAAACGCTTCCCTGTTCCGTTGACAAGCGCGGCGTTCGCGGGTGTAATGCACTTTCGCATCAGCTTGCAGTAGATCGTCAGGTATTGAGCTTGAGGTAGGCCATAGGTGTCGTTGTAGAAAGAATATAATATTATGTTGTAGCTGACATACCTGTAGTGTCTCTTGACTGTGCTGGTCGCCATTGTAACGTGGTAGTTCTTAGAAAAGTTTAGTTCTGGACTCGAGGAGCGCCGCCAGCGCTGTTTCCGCCAAGTTTGCAGTGAATGCGTCCGTGAGGAATCCGTCGTGTGGTTGTCTCTACCCGTGACTCCAACCGCCTATCGCAATGGATAGCCGCCTGGAGTCTTGGGCAATGGCTAGGCATCAAGTCTGAACCAAATGCCATGCTCCTTGCAATGAAAGTTGACGGGAAAGAGAAAAAAACTGGCACCGACTCAGCAAGGTGGAAGTGCGTGAGAACCGATTTCTTCCGCGCCGCTCGGCTAAAAATCAGATGCGCATTTTCAACGACGCTGGTTCGATTTTTTCAAATGGCAACCCATGCTTCTGGCAGCGTATTTCGATGGGTATGGACCTCTTCTAGGGCCTAGTGGCCCTCTACCACGGCTAAACATCTCCAATAGTAAAAAATAGTGGCCCAAACTGGGTGAAGTCTGCCTGTCGACAAAAGTCGACGGTGGCACTGGGGACTGCATGTTTGCTTGTCGACTTTCGTCGACAGTGGCACTCAGAGTGCATTAATGCGCTGTCGACTTTCGTCGACAGTGGCAGTGAAAGGGTTAAATATGGGCTCACATACATTCAAATGGGACTTCGGGTATAAGGATACTTCACGAATAAGGACACTTTTCTGATACCCCGCAGAGTGTCGTTATTCGCAAAGTGGATTATATGTTCTTATGGTAGTAAAATCTGTCAGGCGAAAGAGAACCGTACTAAGCAGGTGTACGTCTTAACCGGGTACGTACTAAGTGACTTCTATTGTCTGTTTAATAAGAGGAACGTGTATCTAATAACATCACACTCGGAATGGACTAAATTGTATGTTTACCTTGAAGTGAAATGCTTGTGGTGCTACGCCGTTACTGCTGCTTCCCAGCGTCTGCAGAATATCTGCGTCCAGGTCCATGCCCTCCAGGCTGGTGAAACGACAACCCAGCCATTGGCGCGCAAGCTGCAGGGATCTCTCCAGCTCCGAGCAATTGCCAATGCCTACATTAGCAGACCCATCACAGACGATAATGCTGTAAAATGGGGAGATGGGAAATTCACAGCATCACGGAAACGTACCCATAAACAACACTATCTGTTTTTGCCCATCATACTCAACATCATCCAAGTTTTCTCGAACATGGGATAGCCTGCTAAACCTCCGGCCCACCCGCCAATCCTATGCTTCACAATGGGCAGAGTGGATGCAAAAGTCCGCATTTTTTGTTAGATTTTGACTTCTGATATCATCGCTTTCAAGCCCTATTCCAAACTCCCTGTAATAATGGTGGACACAAACAGTAACTTCAAACTCACAATCATACATGCGTCGTGGACGGCCAGTGGCGGATATGGGCATTACCTACTCTCACTACTACTATGCACAAAATAGTTTGCGAGCAGCAGCCAGTAAACTCACAATTTAGATCTCCTCTTCAGCAGCGGTAGTAGGCCAAGGTTTTCGGTATGGCCGCCATCCGATACGTTGACGGTGACGTCAGGATACGTGCCACACGCCGCGGAGCAGAGGACTTCTCTGAACATCAGTGCCAGCGGTGAGCTGGTTATGAACTTCCTGAAGACACAGGATCAGGAATGGGACGCAGAGCTGTTTGTCGTTTATGGCTACATGCAAATTAATCCGTATTGAGAAATCTCGGGGTTTCTAGTATATCCTGTGTGTGACGAGCTAATGGAAAACAGCAGCCACAATGATGTATGCAGTACTGCTTGCTTAGTTTCTTTGTTGCATCATTCAGGGGCGTAGCTGGGCGGTGGCGCGTGGTACGACCGGGGATCCGGGGTTGTCACCCTTGGAGAAAAATATCGGATTTTTTGGCCAAAGGGGTACGTTTTAGCACTCTACAGGCGCTCTGGGCGGACCATCCTGGACGAAAAGTGGTACGACCATGGTCATGCTGGTTGTACCGTGTGTGACCGACCATGGTAGTACTCGTCGGTGACACATGTGAAGACAAACACCAAATAGGACACGGGCATGTAGGGACGACCTGCCGATGTACAGAGCGCAACTCGACCGACCAGAGGTCTCGGTATTAGCGTTGCAATGTTTGACAATGTTTTGGCGCAAAAACAAGAGGCATGTGCCTCAGTTCCAAGGCGAATCAGATGCTTTGGGGAGACATAACAGGGAAATCCCCACGTCAATGAAGATTACACAGTCGGGTTTTTGGGTTTTTTTACTAAGTACACAACCTACTTGTCAGAAGGGGAGAAGACAACAGAGTATACAATAACAACACAGCAGGGAGAGTAGGGGCTGCAAAGCAAGCCTGTGCTGGTGAGGCAAGCCCACAACACCGACCTATGGTCTCGGCGTTAACGTGAGCTTGCGCGGTTTCTAACAGTCTGGACGTCTCGGGAACTCCTCTATACTCCATAATCCCATATACCTTCAACTGAGAGTGATGCGCGCTTACGTGGAAAAAGATGCTATCCACTCTGTCAGCGGATCACTGAACAGTATTCCTTCACTGTTTGGCACTGTGACTATGACGATGAACCCCGTCCACAGCAGCTCTAGAAACACAGACACTGCTGGTTCTTGTAGCTGACTGGGCGCAAATAGGTGTATCCACAAAACACTGCCCAGAGCGAATTGAATGACAAACGGAGACAGGAACTGCAGCAGGGGTAATGCAAGAAACAAGTGAAACGCGATTAGCTACATCAACGTACAGGTGCATATGTCCACGTGCACATGCTCATCAGATATTCACACGACGTGTTAGTTTGGATGAACATGCACATGTACATGATCATTAAATGCATTGTATCGAAGGGAAAGACACTTACCGTACTCGAGTGATTAGAGCCCTCTCTCGAATAGGGCCCAGGCTCCAAGACTCAGTTAATAAAAATATAGTTCTTTTGCCGTTTCTGTCGAGTCCTGACAGTTCACAGCACACTTTAGGCTTTGTTTTCTTTGCCTTCTCTGGGTTTTTTTAAATGCTGGATTCCGTAAAATGTACTAGCATTGAAAAAATAGCGCCCCTCTCTTGAACTGTGCCCAATCTGTGATGGACATTGACAAAATAAGGTCCCAGGGGCACTAATCGCGCGAGTACGGTATACAGCTTACCTAACCTTTCTGAAGTACACGCCATAGTATATATCATTCACTGCCTAAATAACATGTTTCCAATTCCATGCATATCGGCTACATGGCGCTTGATTCCCCTGCCCATCCAGCACTTTCATTGGTAGAAATTCCTCACCTGTAGAAAAGTGTTCTTAATTCCAAACCCGGTGAACCAGGTGGGAATGTTGGCATCAAAGCGTACGCCGAGAAAGATCAAAGCTTCACGAACATAAGCGATCAGATTTGAGAAAGCACCTGAAGGAGAATAAAAATGACAATCCAGTTATTACCACAGGTACATGTATATGTGTCGCCCTCACCTCTGAGAGTTGCTCGCCATATCATCATTGGCTGCATAATACTATGCAATGAGAATGAGTTGATTTTAGAAGGATTGGGAGAACGTCAAATTCAAAGGATCAGTCGGGGAAGTGAGTTGCCCGAAAAGAGAAAAAAATGTCAACCTCACCATGACTCAAACCCGGGACCTTGCTTGTCATGAGAACTGCACAAACCATCTGAGCTATGAGACCAGGCCGAAATTAAACCGGTGGGTTGGGTGGCACACACGTACAAGCCAGCACACCTTGACTTACACACAAACACACACACACACACACACACATTGACTCACACACACACACACACACACACACACACACACGCACACGCGTACACACACACTTTCTCTCTCTCACACACACACACACACACACACACACACACACACACGTACAAACACCTACCTGGTGATGGCGAGAGAAACGCTGCGCTGATGGTCATCACCATACTCAATGACAGGCTGTGCGGAGACATGTCCAGGTACTTGCTTTTATCTGATGTCGACTGCGAGATTATGTCAACCTACGGATATCACAGAGAACATGACCATCGCTTCTTTTTATTCAGCTGGTGCCATTACATTCTCATGTGCAATGAATGAATCGTACGGAGTGGCATCATAAGCACTCGCTTACTGTACACTGAAAAGTATCTGCGATGACATCAGTTCCGGACACTGCACTAAAAGGAGTTAATTCGTTCACAAATAGGGAATGAGTGCATCGCAACAAGCCAGGGTTATGCTTGGAGTGTACTTGATATAGAGCTCACCAGTTTTGGCGAAATCGTGATCAGCTTGTAATCATGATCATGCTCGTCAAATTTCCAGTTGTTCAACGTCATCTGGCATATCCATTCTGGTTCAATATCACCTAGCTGACCCATGGGCAATTCTTCTGCAAAGCAGTAACATTCAAACATTCCAATAATCTGTTAATGGAAACGAGAGATCTTGAAAGCACTGTGCCCTCGTTATGCTTTTTTGCCTAGGTCATCATGCATGTTTTTCGAACTGATGGAAAAAAAGTTTTAAAAAAATAACCGATAACAGATTGATAAAGGAAAGGTCTGGAGCTCCGCTTTCCAGATATGTAAAGTTCTTCGCAATAGGATAAGGATTGACTGAACAGCGACAAAATGAACGCGGAAATCAAGGCCTGGAGCGATCGCAAATTTCTTTATTCATAACGTCGCTGTTTGTTGGAGCATGCCAGGGGATTTCCCTTTTCCCAGCGCATGCGGTATGGACATCAAATGAAGCGCGTGGATTTCAGCTTTGCAGAGCAGTTTGAAACGTGAAAATCGGTTGAAATTGAGCAAGGAGTCGAAAAGAATACTTGACTGAGTTGTTGTTTCGTTCCGTGGGATGGTGAGCCAATTTAGAGAGGTCGTGGAAGTGGCCCTGATGGGGCTATAGAGCTGAGAGCGGCAAGGATGGACTTTATTGATCCTGATCTTTCCAACAAGATCGGGATGATGAAATTCCATCTAGGCAACTGAAATGAGAACAAACTTTGTTCGGAGCATTACGCCCAAACTCCACCAGAAGAGTCCATGTGCTGGACTGCCATTTTGGGGGGGGGGGGGGAGGGGGGGGGGCAAGCCAGCATGAGAGAGTTAAATAGTCACTATGGGTAACGATGTGATGTGTAATTCGAAATAATCAATTGTTATGTTGTACACCTAACTTCATGTAGCCTTGGATGCGGTTTGTACCAAACTTTGACGAAAAAACACTAGCACAACATCATCACTGACCTGTTCCAGCTCATGAGACTTCATGCTCTTTCAGATTTGAAGGTCCAAAAACACAGGAATATATTATTGTGGACTTGGCAATGCGATTCTAAAGACAGAAGAGTGCTATTCAGAATGCCTTGCCACTCCGTGCTCTGCAAGCTTCGTTCAGGACAGTTTTATGTTCGAATCAGCTGCATGAAGGAGTCATCATCTCCAGTGCTGCTCAATGCAATCCGATCGTGTGGCTCAAGTTTGCACTCTGCACCAAAGTACAGATTTGGGGCTGCGCAGAGCCTGGTATGACATTGACTCTATTCATCGGATTTTATTGAGCAGCACCCTGGCTATACTGAAACACCGAATTGTGTTGTTGGTGTGGGGAACGAAGTTGGCATGAAAGGATAAATGCATGTGCTAAAGAGTTTGTAGGTCATAAGTTTGCCTCGCATGTCCGCATTATACCCGGCTATACGAGCGCGTTGAGAAACACAACCAGCTTCAGACGTTTTGCTCGCGCCAGGCCATCACCATGCCTGGGATACCAGGGCGGAAGATGCAGCGCCTAACGGCAAGGGTGAGGTGGTAACTCTCACAACCAATGCCCGACAAGGGGGCGAATCTCGTTAGCTGCATCCAAGTTGTGCGCCGTTGTCACTTTGTAAAATAGTATGCATAGCAAATCATCGAATGAATGCACGCTTTACTACAGCAGAGATAATAGATAATGTGTTTTATGGGCTGCAAGCAATTGCCTTACTTCCTTTCATATCTTGTGGTGATGACGAGGAGGCCGGATTCGTATTGATGTGTGAGCCTACTGGTAGGAATCGCTCCAGCCACGGTGTTCTCTTGCAGCCATCTGGATGATAGAATGCACCACGGATGACATTCCTACGAGAACGTGGAAGAGACGCATGCGAAGAGTGAGTAGTCGCATATGTAAAAGGAGCTAGGAAATTGCTGACCGTAAGTTTCTAAACAAGAAGAAACACCAATTGTTAACCAACCGACTGACATTGGCAAACCCTAAAAACACACATAAAGCATTCACTATACAGTACAAGTGGGCACCAAAGACCAGCCTGGTCAGTGTTCTCCTTCCTTGTGTAATCACTAGCTGCCAATACATCACCGCTAGAGGAGAGAATCCAAAATGTGTTTCAATTTAAGTTAAGTGCCGACACCATCTCACCTGTAGTACTGGAAAGCCCATCCTTGCTGGTACGCAAACAGCATGGGATGTATGGTGAAGAGTAGCAGAGTCACACCGATACTCCAGTCGGCCTCTTGCACCACCTCTCCAGTGGGTGAACGACGATACTCTCCCTGGTATCAATAGATTGCAGATAACAGAGAGGTTCAGCACTACGTAAAGTTGAGCAACTTTACGATATGGGCCTATAACACAACGAGAAATGTCAAGGTTTCTCGGCCTCGTGAGAGGATCACCAAAGTGATCATCAATTTTTTTTGGAAATCTGAATCCCAGGCCCGTAGAAAATGAACTGGCCTGTATTTGCTTTGTCCGCAGAGCTAGTGGTCGTGTGAAGTATCATGCCGTGCATTGTAGAACCAAGGATTTTGCAATTGTGAGCACATACCGTCGTGTGAAAGGCCTATAAGCGGGCATGAAAACGCAGTGAATACGCGAGTTTGCACTCCGCTTACGGAAAGTTGTCTACGTAGACTACCTAGAACGGAGGTGCATCGTAACTGGATTGGGTTACAAATGTATGACTCACTCCCCAGGTCGACCGGGTCATACACTGCACGTAATTCGAAAACTCCGTATGACGGAACACAGATCCGCATGCAGCGTGCGCAAGTCTTTCCGCAGATCGATAACGCTTTTTCCTAAAGAAATTACGTTATGCGGAGCCTGTCTAATCTCATTTTGCTAAGACAAAGGTCAAATATATGCATGCCTTTTACTTACTGGGAGTATGTGACTGCAAAAATTAATATAATGGAAGTGGAACTCGGATTAGATGTACCCATGGGCAATAGCCAAGTGGACATAGTACCCGATCTACTTCTTATCCCCACATACATCAATATCAAGGTGTGCACCAATGAACTAGATAACGCATAAAATAAAAAGAATAAAGTTTTTTATAAGTTCACACTAAAAGCAAAGCAGTGTACATGTTACCAAAACACATACTACCTGAGTTACACAGTACTTTTAAATATCTCTCCGCACCCGTATAGTCTCCAGCTTGGCAATAGTGTATAAGTTTGACGTGCAAGACATATCGCAACTAGACTGTAAATTCAACTTTCAAGTTCCATTGTACCGAAAGGCAAGCAAGCTCCCACATGGCCACTGGCCAACTCTGTACACCATGTTAAACTTCAGTATGATGTTGTTCGTTTGTTCCGCAAGACAAGAAGCCCACACAAACGCTTACCTGGATAGCTGAAGCTGCGAGAAGCAAGAAGACCATCAGGACATTTGCCCGTCTTTCCTCGGCAAACTCAGAGAAAAGAAGGTGTACCATTGCAGCCAGTACGCCTATCAGGAGCAGGTAGACATACCATGAAGTCAGCGTGCACAGCAGGTCGCCATCTTCAGATTCCTTCAGGTGGTTGCAGCTTTGCAAGCAGAGGTTAGAAAGTTCCATACTCTCATACATCCAGCATACCTATGCAGAAAGCAGCAGGCACATGCACCAAGCAACATCACCACAAGATATTACGTTAGAGACGGCAAATTCCTCCAACTAAAGGATGAGCTGTTGCACTTCCCCACGTTTTAGCAGTTCTGCAATAATGAAGTCATGTGCATGTCCACAGTATTGTCGGATTTCAAGAAACTGGGGATCAGCCCCGTAGCCTACATGTAGTCCCTACGAAGTACCCCCCCCCCCCCCAACCTTGCTACATGTAGTAAATTCATGAGGTCGGATTCCTCTGGCCAGGAGTCCAGGACTGTACACCGTCACGTCACTACTTACAGAGCACACCAGGAGATATCGCACCGCTGCTATGCCAAGTAGGCTGGAGAGCAGGTGTCGAAAAAGACCAGTTGGCAGCATTGCTCCCAGGAGGCGCTTGATAACGGCAAGGCTCAAGCACACAGAAGCGCACACGACGCTCGCCGGGATCGATTTGCCTGCGCACCCTGCGCCACTGTCGACCAGGAGGCTCTCTAACGTCGGACGGAGCATCTGCATAGCAGTCGCGACCAGTACTGACTTCACTGGCAGGATAGCCAGCGGGCACACAACGCAAGTAAACCAAAATATGGAAAGGCAACACGAGAACAGGTCGAACGCTCCCAGCAGTGTGCTTTGCTCCAGCCGAGCGAACATACTGACTAGGCCCGGAATTAGTTGCGCAAAATACTCCTCGTGCCAACTGGAATCCCGATCGCCCTGCGACTGTCGAAATATCCAATCCATGTAAGAACTAGCAATGTATCCGCCACCGCTGACCGTACTCAGATAATCCACACGAATGTTCGACGCAAGTAACTCTTTCCACGCGCCGGCTGCGAACATGGCAGCTCGAGGGCCGCCGCCAGAAAAGCAAACACCCACGTTAGCCCTGTGGCCAGTGAAAGTGAGCGCATGAAACTTGTGACTATCACGCCGTCTTCGTGTTCGCAATCGCCGGAGTCGTGCCGATTTTCCAGTCGGGAGAGTCATTCTAGAAGAACGGCTTTACAATGAAGCACGAGCATTTCAAACCAGGACTGTGAACAAGAACAAAATAGCGGACTGATAGGGTAGAGCGAGGTTTCAGCGCTACAAATACATGAGTGTAGTAAGTAGCAGTAGCGCGGTGATGGGTAGAGGTGATGACTGATGAGTGATGGTTCGTGCAGAAGTGAAGATGTGCTGATTGTGCATGTGGATATCCGGCCCCTTTTGACACGTCCTAGAGTAGAGAAGAAAGACCACGTTTTAGTCTGTAGACCTACAGCTGAGCTGCAGCACTGAGTAGATCTGTAGACATCTACTAGCCTGTATAGCGTACTGACCCTGGCCTGTAGTCATGGTAGTGTAGTCGGTGAGGCTTGAGCCACGTAAAGTCTACGTGGTCTTTGCTTTTTATTTGGCCTCGGGAGGTCGATCGAGTCTGGCCTCAGCTCAGTCCATCTGCTGACTCGGAGTCTGCCTGCGCAGTGCAGTGCGGAATGTGCGTATACATGTACCTGGTGCTGATACGTGATAGATGCGTGTTGCTGCACTCTCTACGCACCCATCTCCACGGCCACCCAACACAGAACACGGTAATCACGTCAGTACCTGTCCTTGCACAGATAACTGAGACAGTGCAGTGATCTAGAACGACTGGGATGCTTCCGCAACAAAATGTGTACAGTCAGTAGTGCCTGGTGTTGGGGCGTTTCCTTGTGACAAGAAAGATATGAACTGTGATTGTGCAGTGCACGCGCGCCCGCATCACCGCGAGATCTCGAGATCTGATACACACAAGTATGAAAAGACATTCTGACATGACAAGACTGTAGGCACGGAGATGACCAATTGCATTGCACCAATGAGGCGATCAACGCATGCTACAAGAAGTAGGACTCCATAATTATTATTTTAAGTTTAACCCTAGAAGTACCGGAGGCATCATTATGATGCATTTGCGAATTTCAAAATGGGATTGCTGTTATATGTGGGCTTAGTATCTCCCCAAATTTTGTGACTATCATTTATTTTGTTAGTGGCAGTGGGTTGTGTTTTCAAAAATTTAGTACCGTTCCGAAATGCCAGGGGGGTGCTACCTAGAAGTACCGCGCGGCACCATATGGCTCCACATACCATAGGCATCAGTGAAAGGGCGAATTTGGCTTAGAACCACACGTTAATAACGTGAAAAGGAATACATTCGGGAGCAAGGAGATTGGGGACCATGAAGGTGGTGATTTGTACATAATGGACATGCCAATAATTATGCACATTTCACGTGTCGTTATGGTCAATATCATATTCCCGAATCCCGCCGAAACAGACAAATTTGTTTGTCCTAAGTTTGGAAAGTGATTCACTATGTCATCTGCAGCATAGTACGATATGAAGTGCCAGGGCAGTTTTAATATTCTAGGAACGTCCTTTGAGTAAATTGAGTTTACGTTGGTCTGGCGGAAGCCATGTTCAGTAGGCGCAGTGTCGCTGCCGATAAAGCATTTCATTAGATTTTGATAATTTTTGGGCAGGAGGTTGGGGATGAATGCGAGGAGAGTGCCTGGGGCATTGTGCTCGAGCAATTAGAAGAGACCAAACACAGAGACACATAGTCATAGTTACATGTATATGGTCCAGATGAAGATGAGTGAATACTAATTCCTCCGGCTTCTCGATCAGTCTGATACGGGACCGGAGTCGAGGGAGCAAGCGGATAATGGTGGTGATAAAGCTATGGAGCCATACACATAACAGAACATCAATCTCCAAAACTCGTACAGGATTTCCTTCATGAAGCTGGGTTCTCTGGCAAAGTTGGTAGGTAGTGGAAAATGTGTTGCACCAAGCAAGCGCGAAAGCGCGCAACCGGTTGTTGCTTCTGAAGTATGCGGGCTTTTCCGAGATATTCACAATTTTGAAGATGGGGCAGATGCATTTTGCATTTATCGACCAGAATATGATCCATGTCATGATCAAGTGCACAAGGTAGGAGGAAAAAACAAAAAAATTGAGAGGACTCCACTTTGAGTGAAGGCAATATCATGGCATTGGTTTCGCAAATTTACGCAAGAAGCGTCCTCTGTACCCGCAATAATCTGCTGACGGCCCTTCGGCTGGATAGGAATGGACGCCATATAATCAAGTAAAATCACTAAAAATAGTTTCCAGGAACTACTCTGCTACTTGAGGTTTGATCACGAAGATGGTCTCCGGACACGACGTCGAACGAAAATTATTCATTTGCTATGAGTCGCGACACCACGTTCTCCTTTCACTCGTAAATGTATTTATCACAGCAGTCAAAGAATGACCAACCTGGCTGAGAAAAATCCAGCACGTTGGCCCAGCAGCAGCCATTTCCGGGGTAATGGACTGAAATGTAGAGTTTGCAGTATGAGCATGGCAAGCAAATGCTCTTTTATTTTTCCGTAAACTGACGAGAGGTCGCCCTTTCGCTGCGCGCAATGACAGCTGCTGGTCTCCAAGATAGTGCATCATTCTGTCATTGGTTCTTCCTTTTAAAAGGTACATTTTACCCCAAGGATTTCTGTTTCTACACATATTGCCGATAATAATTCCAAGCAGGTATGTTTAAGTCCAGTGGAGTCATATGATGCCTCCGGTAATTCTAGGGTAGTTGAAATTTTGGTACTTCAAGGGTTAAACCAGGTTCAGCATCGGTAGCACAGTGGCTGGGTGGTAAGGAAGAGTGACTGAGATTCACATGGTTGTGGGTTCGAATCCTATCTTGTGTATTTCTGCGCTCTTGTTGTGTCGGGAGTTCAATGCATCTTCCCTAAAATTCTTTTTCTAAATTAGAGAGAAAATTTCGATGTCCAAGAGGTTCTAAGGAGTCAAATATAAGTAGTCAAATATGTTGTGTATTTGACTATAGTCCATTTCAAAAAGATTAGCAATCAGGTTTTGGTGTTAAAAAGTATGAAGATAAGGGAAATTTGGACAACAAAGTACATAGAATGGCTTGTTAGGACACGGCAAATTGTTCTGTGAAGGTTTAGGAACAATTGGACCAGCCGTTAAGGAGTTAGAATTTCGGCCAGGTTTCCGGTTTTTTCCCATGGTTTACAATTTGCCCTGGATGTCAGTAGCGATTTTTTTTATCAAAACCCACGATTTATCCTTTCCTTTTTGGCCTTGTGGTTATGAATGCTGTCTGCTGACCATGAAATTGTCAGTTCAAATCCCAAACTATCTTCAAGTCAAACTTTTTTTAATTGTTTTGGTGATCACGCTGGTACAAAAAGTACAAGCCAAAGAAGGTGGCTGCGCCAAACGACTTGTTGTTGGAGCTCGCGTTTCCCGCCGAACTTACTGACACTTGACTGGTTCACGCCATGTGAACACACCCACAACACTGAAACGGTGTGAGTGAAAAACGGAAGTCATTGCGCTGTAGCTACGTGTTGTTGAATACAACGGCACATCGATCGATCGATTTCTCTTTGAGAATTATTTTAGTATTCAAGTATTTCAAGATTGCCAATTTATTTGAACTTAGCAGTCAACGCCGTCTTCTATCAGCTTTCACAGGCGTCTGCTTTTCTCAAAATGTCGTCGAAGTCACACGGATAGCTTTGCCAAGTCATGGCCTTGGGAATGAGTCTGTGTCGATGTCGTTTTCGTCACATCGTTAGAGTAAATAACGCAGCTCAAAGAAATTGGGCACGAAACGAATTGGGACCCATCCCGCTCGTCAACATTTACCATACTTTCGACATGTCCTCTCTGACTCCATATCGATACGAGGAAGAACTCGTTTGTTGTAAACCAGACGTACAAGTACCGACGTGAGTGAGTTGTCATTTTTCATGCTTTCGCGCGGATTATTTCTTCGAGTTCACAGTGAGTTTTTCCAGCCAGCTCTCGAGCGCGCATACGGTAAGACGGCAAACTCCCCGGGCGATCGCCAGGATTGCTAATCTTTTTGAAACTGACTGTAAGCAGTCAAATACGCGATATATTTGACTGATTAGGTATCAGGGAAATTAGTGGGGTTGAATACTAAGAAGTCGATAATGGTTATTATCAGGTTTTGAAATACATATTAGCACATAATGAAAATCTATTTACATGCATATCAGTTGGCGCAACTTCCTTTGAATCATTTTTATTTATCAGAGAAACCACGCCCATGAAGCCTGATTGAAGGCACCAGACAGCATATTGTTCGATGATGCAACTTCAAATTTCGTTCTTAGTTTCAAATGGTGAACCAGTGGCCAAAGATTGAAGAATGCCAGTGGAATATGTTTTCGTATTCTGAAACACAGTACCAATCAGAAGGAAGATCACCTGATGACTAGAATAGATCGTAAGATCATACATCAAGAAAGTTATGAAGTAAGGTATCAGTGATGTGCTGTGTTCGGAAGGAACTCGTAGTACATGTATGTTGAAACTAGAGCCTGCCATGATTTCTGCTTCTTTTGGTTTTTATTCAGACGTCTTGGTATATCTTCCCGAACGAAGTTACATTTGTCTACAGCAGCATCTACACTTCTTATTATGACTTTGTACGTTATAATTTTGCTGAGCTCCGGTTTTCCCCTTCATTCTAACTCAAGTGCAGTTTAGCGTGTATTGGCTTGTGATTTCCTTTCTTCTGTTTGCTTGGCATTTTATCGCTCCACAGGTACCCTCGGTCTCAGGTGCTCTCACATTTGTGCAATTGTTGATTTTGGTCCTGAATTGTCCTCCCTGTTGCTTTGCTACCGTCCTCCTCCTTCCTCCACCTTTTTTTCTTAATTGGCCTCATTATGGCATTCGCTTCCATGTAATTGGGCTTGTAGCCCGTGTGTACTTGCGAATTCAAATAAAAATATACATACATACATACACCGTGTTGACTTTCGGACTCGGACACGTGTGTCTCAAAGAGGACCTAAATCGACTTCAAGTCAGCACTCTACTCATCATCCAACCAATCACACTTCTTCTCATCTTCCTGGCTATACGCATTGCACGATCGTACAACTACCTTGGAACTCGATTGGCAAGACTTCAGAGCCACATGAAACTAGTGCTGGTCATGTGGTTTGTTCTGGTCTACAGCTACTTTATGCTCACCTTCACAGCTCTCAGTGTGTTCTGGTGTGTGCAAATCAACGACAGGCAGGTGCT